ATCTATAGAGATAGAATGAAGCAGAATGATGAAAAAGGGGTCCCTATGTCCTCCAGCAGTCTAAGCCTATAGCAGCAGAACTATAGATAGAATGAAGCAGAATGATGAAAAAGGGGTCCCTATGTCCTCCAGCAGTCTAAGCCTATAGCAGCAGAACTATAGAGATAGAATGAAGCAGAATGATGAAAAAGGGGTCCCTATGTCCTCCAGCAGTCTAAGCCTATAGCAGCAGAACTATAGAGATAGAATGATGAAAAGGAGTCCCTATGAGTCAGATTCTACTGCTTATAAACCGCCTCTGGAAAAGGAACGTCTATAGAAATAAACTGAACAGACTCATTCTTCATTCCAACTAAAGTCACAGAAATGTTTTAGCTTAGAAAGCAGAAACCAGAACAAACTTCCTTCAAGTTAATATAAACAAATGTTTTTAGAGCTAAAGTGTCAAACGTTTAGGTTTTTCTCATTGGTTTGGGTAAATTTCAGCCTGATCGCGAGTTTTGCATTGTGTAGTATAAGGGGGTAACGAGGGGCGAACAACCTCTAACGACCCCCTCCAGGTCAGGACTCGTAAGGTCGACAGAAAATCGTGCCGTTGAAGCTACGATCTGAATTACCAGAACCTCCAGCACTGAGCATGTGCAAACGATGGAGTTCTTCTTCTTCCAGATTGACGATTCCGACCAGCGGCGTCTCTCGGCGCCGAGTTTGACGTGTGGTTTTTAGACGCACAGTGTGAGCAGGTAGATCGCATCAGAGCGTCGGGCTGTACAGTGGAAGAGCAAACATCGCGAGCTGGGAACGTTTAAAGTTTAATTGTAGCAGAGTACAACCATTGAAAATATCGTACAATGTATTCCCGTTTTTAATTTGTGCGATGAGTTTGGGGATGGTAACGACTTTTGGCCAAACCGTGGAACATGTTTGATATTTTGGTCGTGAGCGAATCTAAAGTTGAAGCGGTGACACGACCAGACCTCCGAGATTTTAGCAGGAATTCTGCGAAAAACAAAAACAGAGTTTTTGTCTTCTGTTATTAGCTACCGCCGTTTCTTGCGCTGAATGTGCGATTAGTGAGATCGCATCGCAGGCTGTGGATTTCTGGACTCTGTGATTGATTCGCACAGTTTGAGTTGGGGCTGCGAGCAAAACCTGATTTATTACATTTTTTCTTTGCACTAACCTCATCCATGTTACAGAAACGCGACTCCTTCAATGCGGTCTAGTCCAGAGTCTACTATCTATTTGCTTTAGCTCTGTGTTGAACAGTTCCTGCATGGATCTGTGTGGCAGCAGAACCAATTTCAGGGCAGCACTGCCCCCTAAAGGCCTGGAGGGAGTTTAACTGTTGAATGCTGCTCTCTAACAGCATCAGGGCTCTGTACTCGGACCCCTGTTCTTCTGCTCTCTGATCGCATTTATTTACTGCTAATAAACCATCGAACTGAGCAGC